TCCTTCTGTTGGTGCCACTTTGACCTGAGTTGATGCTTCAGTCAAGTCCTTTACCAATCCGATGGATTCATCTTCATGTTCCTGTCTCTCAGAAAGAATGTTAGTTTCATCAAATACTACATGCACACTTTCTTCTACACACAAAGTTCTTTTGTTAAACACTTTATATGCTTTGCTATGTGAAGAATATCCCAAGAATACTCCCTCATCACTTCTGGGATCAAACTTACCTAGGGAGTCTTTTCCATTATTGTGCACATAGCACTTGCAACCAAATGCCCTAAGATGGGATATGTTGGTTTTCTCCCTTTAAGTAACTCATAGGGAGTCTTCTCTACCAGAGGTCTGGTCATGCATCTATTGATTATGTAGCATGCAGTGTTTACAGCCTCTGCCCAGAAGCTGTGAGGCAGTATGCTAGAAAGCAGCATGGTCCTGCCATGTCCTCAAGAGTTCTATTCTTCCTTTCAACTACTCCATTTTGTTGAGGGGTCCTAGGGGCAGAGAAAGTATGATCTATACCATTTTCATCACAGAATTCAGCAAACTTGGAATTTTCAAATTCAGTTCCATAATCAGACCTAATGGATGCAAGTTGATTTCCTAATTGTTTCTGAGTTTTACTAACAAATGCAGTGAACATATCAAATGCTTCATCTTTGGAGGTTTGAAATAGAACCCAGGTAAATCTAGAATAATCATCAACAAGCACCATTACATATTTCTTTCCACCTCTGCTCATGGTTCTCATTGGACACATAGATCCATATGGACCAGTTCCAACGACTTTGTTGTACTTAACATTTTCTTGCTTTTGAAGGATGATCTTACCTGCTTCCCCCTTGCACATGCCTCACAAACTTTGTCTTCCTTGAACTTGATATTAGGTAACCCTATCACCAAGTCTTTAGAGGCTAATTTGTTAAGCTGATTTAGACTTACATGACCAAGTCTTTTGTGCCACAGGAGGGGATCATTGTCCAACACACTTAAACAAGTGAGTTCACTTTCTGAGAGAGTAGACAAATCTACAATGTAAATATTGTTAACTCTTTTTCCCTGCAAAATAATCTTGTCAGTGGTAAGGTTAATCACAAAGCATTTGGTGGAGGTAAAAGCTACAAGGTTACCTCTGTCACACAATTGTGACACACTTATTGGCTATATTTCAAGCCATCTATCAGGTAGACATTCTCTATGGAATGAGAATCTGTCTTTCCTACCTTTCCAACCCCAATGATCTCACCTTTCTTTCCATTACCAAAGGAGACATTACCTCCTTTTATGTTCTAGAGTGAAAGGAACTGGTCCTTGTTCCCAGTCATATGTTTTGAGCAACCACTATCCATATACCATATTTGGCTGCATCCTTTCACTTGGACCTACAAAAGAAATCAGGGGTTAGTCTTAGGAACCCAAACTAATTTGGGTCCCTTTCTATAGGCAAAAGGATGAATCAAATTCCTTTTTGCCCATCCAGGCAGCTTACTTTTCTCTTGAACAAAGGCTTTCTTCTTTTGACTGGCCTTTACTTTTGCATTACATTCATTTTTGTAATGGTCAGTCTTGCTACAGTGTGTGCATATTTTATTCTCAGGAAGTATGAGGTACTTGCTTTTAGGGTCCCAGTTAGGTGCTTGAGTCCCATAGCCAAGTCCTCTTTTGTTTCTACTGTGATGCTCTTGCAACCAAGAGAGTGCATCAGAGGTCTTGTTCCATTTGCAAGTTCTGTCTAATTCATGTTTCACCTTTCCTAGATCTTCTTTTATGACTTTGATTAGTTCATCCTTTTTATACAATTCATCCTTCATTTTTCCTAGGTTTTCCTCTAGAGTGAGATATATGTGATCAGCTTTCTTCTTTCCAGTTCCTAGTTTCAATTTTAAGTTTTCAGACCTAAGTTCTAGGACACTGTTATCAAGTTCAAGAACCTAGTTCTTCAACTCAGCATTTGTGTTGTCACTCTCATTAGCCCTAGCCTCTAGACTTTTATATTTTTCTTTTAGGATCACACATTCCCTAGACAGAATTTCCTTCTCATTGTTAGTTATCTCACACTCATCAATGAAGTCTAGTAATAGCTCAGCCAACCTTTCTTTAGACAAAAATTTAATCTTGTCTTTGAGATGAAGAATACTTACCTCTTGTTCATCATCTGATTCTCCGATGGCCATCAGTGCTTTCTCTTCTTCAGCTTCATCTTCTGAGTCTTCATCTGAGGTTTCTCCCCAAGCAGCAACCATAGCCTTGGTTGAACCTTTTCCCTTTTGGTCGAACATGTTCCTTCTTCTTGTTCCTTCGTTCAGCCCTTTCTTTCTTCCACTCAATTTCCCATTGAGGACAGTTCTTGATCATGTGCTCAGTCTTACCACACTTGTAGCAACCCTCATTGGTCTGTTTCTCAAGAGCTCTTGTCTTGTTGAAGGTTGTACCTCTTGAAGAACCCTTTCCTCTCATCAGGTACTTTTTGAAATCTCTAGTGATCATAGCCATTTCATCATCTTCTAGATTTGAACCTTCAGCAATTCTGAGAGCTAAGCTTCTCTCCTTCTTGGGTGTATCCATTTTCATGGTTTGCCTTCTCATTTCATAAGCAGTAAGATTTCCAATCAGTTCATCCAGTCTGAGAGTAGCAATATTAATGGATTCCTGAATGGCAATGATTTTGCTTTCCCATGTGACTGGCAGAACCCTGTGCAGAATTTTCTCAACCTTCTCTTCTTCAAGAATAGTCATTCCAAGAGATTTAAGTTCATTTGTCAGTGTAGTGAACCTAGTATACATTTCTTGAATTGTTTCTCCTTCCTTCATAGTAAAGTTCTCATATTGAGAATACAACAGTGTTCCTCTTGACCTCTTTACTTGAGGTGTTCCTTCATGAGCCACTTGCAAGGTGTCCCAGATTTCCTTAGTAGTGGTACAACCTTGAATTCTAGTGTACTCATCAGGACCTAGTCCACACACAAGTCATTTCTTGGCTTTAGCATTTTTCTCCCACTTCCTCAGGTCTTCAGCAGTGCAGTCAGCCTTTGTCTTTGGCACATCAACTCATTCAGCATTCTTCTTTGTGGTTGCTAGGGGACCATCAGTGACTATGTCCCAGAGTTCATAGTCTTCCCCTATGATGTGATCTCTCATCCTGTTCTTCCACCAAGAATAGTACTGACCATTTGAAAAGTGGAGACCTAGCAGTGGGTTGCCCTTCCCAGTTCCCAGGTGGTGCACTCATGTTGATCTTCTCCTAAGGTGTTATCCTTTTCAAGGAAAACCCGCTCTGATACCAATTGATGTTCTTAACATCAATACCACACAAGAGGGAGGATGATTTGTGTGGTACCCAATTTTCGCTTTATAAGAACCTGGTTCTTCTAGGTGTACATACTACTACTGTTTGCGGAATTAAGAGTGCATAAAATAAAGAACACAAAGATTTTTACGTGGAAAACACCTGGCTCAAAGGGTGAAAAAACCACGACCTACTACTCAGTAGGATTTTTCCAAACTTCCACTAAAATCACTGAGCCAAAACAATATTTACAAAACTCTTGTAAACCTAAGGATTAAACTCTAATCCCAGTGTAGCACACAGCCTCAACTGTTGCGACACCTTCAAGTTAACTCTAACTTGAATACTCAAAGTACCTAATACAATTGCTTCTATGAAAGCTGGAAAGGTACAACTTTAAAACACCTACTACAATTGAACTAAAATAAAAGAAAGACATAATGGAATTGGTTCTTCTATCTTGTCCAAGTAGCTTCAGGAATGCACACTTGAATCTCACATAAATTGCTTGCAAAATTGGCTCGCTCTTTTGCTCTCAATTTAGTTTAACTTCTACGTTGGTGGAGCAGCCATGAGGATCCTTTCTAGGTGTTAACCTGATAGAAAGAACCCGCTCTGATAACAATTGATATAATATGTGAGTCCACCAAACTATATAGATACCAGGTCCTCTATAGGTTTCCACTGGTAGTGCTAACGAAACAGTAAGTAAATGGAACAGGGAGTTTTTACATGGAAAAATTCCTACTCAAGGAGATAAAAAACCACGACCTACACTGGTAGGATTTCAACTTCACTATGAGCAACTTTAGATTACAAGCTATGCAATCTAGGAATTAAAATCTTAACACTTCACTAACTTGTAATACACCTATTACAAGCCACTTTGCAATACACCTATTACTAAGACTTCAACGCATGACTAACTCTAGTCACGACACAAATACTGAAGGTTTATGGTTTACAAGGGGTTCCTAGGTAACGCTTCTAGATAAGCAAAGTAGGAATTACAATGAAGAACAATTACAAAGTTACAACTCAACTAAGGACATACAAGATACTTGTTATAGGAACTGGTTCGTAGTAGTGTTGTTCTCTGTTCTTGATGCACTTGAGAATTGAATGCTTGACAGATGAACTGTTGGAGTGCTTGAATGAATTTTAGAGTGTTGAAGTGATGTTTTGTTGTAATACACTTGTTAATGAAACTTGGATGACATCACTTGAACGATGTAATCACGTGGTTGGTCAAAGGGGACTGTCTGCAGTACTGTGCTGCACTATTTACGTGTATACTGTAGGCAGTCACTTTGCAGCTGTAGACAGTTGACTTCGTACTGTTGTCAGGAAAATACAAGGGGATCAGGTCCCTGTGTTGATTCTTTATCTTCTGAAGTCATAGCAACTCACATTAGCTGGAGTCTGTTGATTTGAGTTGTATACCAAGTGTGTCAGGTTCCTTATCTGGTTCTTTGACGGTAAGTTTGTTAGATCATCAAAACATAAAGCCAAGGTACTGTAACCCATCAGTTCGATACCAAAAGATAGTGAGAACTTGAAAAGTCTTGTGAAATTGGACCTGTCACATAATTCTCTTAGCGGTTCAATTACAAATCATTTGTTCCAGTTGCATCAATTGCGTCACCTCTTACTAAGTTCCAACAACTTGTCTAGTGTGATACCTGATGTAATGGACTTGTTTAGTTTGTATAATATGGATCATTCTCATAACCAATTGACTGGTTCTATACCAAAGGGACTTGGGGATTTACCTGGATTGGATGCTTTGGATTTGTCTCATAATCAGTTATCAGTAGATATTTCAAAAAGTATAGAATATCTAAGGCCTAGAATTTCTGCTGAATTTTTGAAGCTAACATTTGAAGAGAATTGCTTTGATGAGTCCAATCTTTGTTCTACATCCAACAACAACTTATCCATCCCTGGCCTACCAAGCTGCTCCTCTGGTGATGATGAGGTTAAAAAAATTTCGAGACCAAAGCACTTGATTATCATATTTTCTATTGTAGGGGTTGGAATAGCTATAGAGTTGATATGGATCTTTTACATGGTCAGAAAGCATTGGTGGAAGAAAGAGTGCATATCGATGCAGTTAATATGGATATTTTCTTTGATCCAAAAACCTTGGTGGAAAACAAAGAAGCAAAATGTCAAAGATGGGTTGAAGTTCATTTCATTTCACAAGTTGAAGGTAACTACAACGGACATCTTGTCTAGCTTGAAGACGAAAATGTAATAGGAAATGGAGCATCAGGGAAGGTCTATCGAGCTGTGATCGAAGTTAGAATACTTGGTAGTATTCGACACAACAACATTGTCAGGCTCGTGCATTGCATCTCTAGTGTAGACAGAAACCTTCTAGTCGATGAATACTTTGAGAAACAAAGCCTGGACAAATGGCTCCACAGAAAGAGAAGAGCAGCCTCACCAGGTCAAAGTAGTACCCCACCCTTGGATTGGGAAAAAAGATTAAAAATAGCCATTGGTGCAGCTCAAGGACTCTGCTATATGCGCCATGATTGCACTCGACCCATCATTCATAGAGACATTAAGTCCAGCTATATACTTCTGGACTCAGAATTCAATGCAAAAATAGCAAAAATGTTAGCCAAGCGGGATAATGATCCTGAGACAGCTTCTGCTATTGCTGGAACATTTGGTTACATAGCCCCAGGTATACTACAGTTTAATTGTCTATGTTTACCTCTTGAATTTTTCAAAAGAACTTAACCAACTCTAATATTAATTTTTAAAATCTGGTCCTAACAGAGTATGCCTCAACATTCAAAGTTAATGTAACGGCTGATATCTATAGCTTCGGAGTGGTGCTTTTAGAATTGATAACCGGGAGAGAACCCATTCTTAGGGACGAACAAATGAACCTAGCACAATGGTCTCAACATCATTTCAGAGAGGGGAATTCCATTCTTAAGGCGCTTGATGAAGAAATCATGGAAACAAGTAACTTGGAACAAATGATAGGTGTTTTTAAAGTAGGACTGATGCATCACCATCTGGTAGGCATCAATGAAGGAGGTTTGCAACATCCTTCAAAGCTACATAGAATCCCAGGTTTTTAGGGAGTACAAGGTTTAGTATTAAGTCGACAAACATAGTTGTAATTTGTTAATACAATAGAATGAGAAAGCCCTGTTGGCAACAATGTCTTCCAGCGATATATACTTCTTATTAGGAGGCTAGTAAAATCTAACTTGGTAGTGTTGACAACTCATAAATATATTCTTATATTTTAATGCAGAACATCACATCAGAATAAAACTAGCAGATAAAACATTTCTTCTACAATTTGTTTAGTTTATTCTTTATTGTATGAAGACTTCATATCGTGGACTTAGAGCAAGTTCTTGAGCCTCAGCTTTATAGTCAAAATTATAGTAATTCAATAACATAGTTACTTTTATTTTCAAGCTCCTTTATGATAATATGAAAGTAACCTAACCAACTTTAGAATTAAAGCTCGGACTAAACTGAATTTAGAAAGATGGTAGCTTCAAGACTTGTCTCTGTACTTTCCAAAAAGATTATTGTTTGCTCAAAAGTTATATCTTTCTCTTTCTCTCATGAATAGTGAAGAAGAAGCCCCTTGAAGAGGTTCCCTCTCTTGGTATTTATAGCTGTGAGCTTCGTGAGCTGGCAATAAGTGGCTGTGACCATGTTGGGGTTTCGCCTTCATTATGACGGACGGGTCGTAGCCTTGTTGATCGAATCAGATAAGGGTTGGATACCGTTAATTGTGAGTGGTCGTACCACTAATCAATCATGAATTAGATTAAGACGAGATTACCTTCGTTAATTATCGTGGGGTCGGATTCTGACTCATACAGTTAGTCCCTCCGCTTATTGAGGTCGTGCCTTGGCCGAGCTCGATGAGTGGATTTCATCGACTGTAGTTTGAGAAACTCGGATAGGGAGGTCGACTGTCGCTTCGGTCGAGGCCGAATTCTCTTTGGCGATGGCCCTTAGCCTTGTAGAGTGTCAGTGTTTTGTTATTGTGTCATCAAGTCGTCGTTCGATCGAGGTTGGACTCTCCTCCTTGGCGAAGGCACTTGACCCTTTAACTTAATTCGAGTGAGGTCGAGCTTTGTTGTGCTCTGATCCTTACGTTTGTTTGGGAGCATACCCGTCGACCATGGCGGACGGGTCGTATGTTGTGCAGCCGAGGGGAGTAAGGGCACGCTTGATACATGTTTGGCGACGTCCAAAATTTTGAGGGCGCACGGAACATCTCCTCAGCGTTCATAGGTCGTTATAACCATTTCGAGGGCGAGACGCCAGTTGGTGACTGAAAAGCTGCTTCTTGGAGCCTGTCATAATGATGCACGTTTCTGTAGAATCGAACCGGTGGGTGGTTGGTCATGTAGTTACTAGTGGCTATTGGGGTTCATGAAAGCTACTTGTGTTGCCTATAAATAAGGGCTGACCCATTCATTTTTTAGATTCTCATTGTTTGTCTGAGAGAGATTCTGAAGAAGCTTTTCTTCCTGCTAATTCACCTTCATCTTTGTTCTTCGATTGATATAACTTTCGTCTTTGTCCCTCAAACTTTGTTTCTTTCTCGTTATTGAATCAACAATGGCAGGCAGTTCTTCCCAAAACGTTATTCCGACAAATCTTCCGGTTAACTCTCCGATGACTGAAGGGCCATCTCCGGCAATGGGCGGTGCAGAACTGGTGGAGATCGATGAAGCTCCATCGATTGACGAGATAATATCTCTGCCCGGAGGTCCGATGACTGATTTCACCGCCGATGGTGGGGAGGATTAGGTGGATGAAGCCCCAATAATGGGGGAGATTGGGATGTCCCAACTACGGGGACAGGGGGTCATCGCCAGCTATGCTAACGTCGTTCTCGCTAGAAGCGAGGAAAGGGTCCACACCGATCGCAGGGGATACTGCGTCTTTTACGCCTATCCCTTCAAGTTGGGGTTTAAGCTCCCGCTCCCAATGCTAGTGGTTGATTTCTGTCGTTATTACGGGGTATGCCCGGGTCAGCTTGCTCCTTCTCTTTATAAATTATTAGCAATGCTTATCAAATATGCAGAACTGGCCGGTAGGGAGGTCACGCTGCAGCATGTGCTTAGCCTCTACGCTCCCTAGAGAGTTCGTGGTACCATGATTCGAGCGTGCCCTCGCGGGACGAGGGGCCTGACTGTGAAACTGGATGATGAGGTCGACCCTCGCCCTTTCGAGCACTTCTTCTACATCAGGACTGACCATTTAGTGGCGTGCTTTACTGGGTTCCCAGAGGTTTGGAATCATGCGCGTAAGTTCCTTAATCGTCGAATTGCCTTTTTTGCCCCTCCTTACGTCTTGTGCTCATAAACATTAACTCGTATCAATTTTGTAGCTGAAAAGTTGCTGCCGACTCCGTTGGCTGGGATTCGTGAGTGGATCGAGGCCGTGCTCTCCCATACGGTGGGGATACGCACATGGGCGTCTTTCTGGGAGAGGCATGGCCGTACGCCTGTGGCAGGTAAAAAATCGATTTCTTCTTCTGTTCCGCTTTGTTTCAACTCTATTCATCAACTTTGTTTTTCTGTAATCAGGGAGGGCACGCTGCTCAAGGCCCCTCAGTTGGCCTTTCATCGGCCGGGTGCAATCGCTTGACTTACTGCGGCGCCGGTGTCGCGCCCAATACCAAGGGCGGCATCAGTTGAATCTTCAGCGGTTCCTTCTCCAGCACGGGCCGCACTTCGGGACGAGGGTCCATCGGGGGTTGTGCGCCCTAGATCGAAGTCGCCATCAGATGGGGAGGAGGAGAGGCCATTGATAAGGCGTAGGGTCGTGTTCACACCGGCTCCTCCTGTGGAGAGGAGTGCGGCCGCGACGCCTGCCCTTGAGGGCGGACAGACAATGGGGGTTGCCCCGGCTGGCTTAGGACATGATGATACCGTCGCTTCGGCGACTCAGTTGGTGGTTCCAGTCGCTGAGACGGGAGGTAGTTCCTCAGCGGCTGCTAATGTTGGTGAGTTAAGCACGTCCTTTGGTGGCTATGGCGGGTGGTTCCACTCGCTGGTGCGAGGGGAGGATGCTGTAGAGATGAGTACGAGTCTGAATCCGACTTGGACCCCGACGACGTCCGTATGTTCCAGGAAGGCTTCACCAATTCAGCGATGCACGCAGAGGGGCGATCTCGCTTCATCGAGGTTCCCACAGAGTTGAACTTATTGCTCCAAGGGGAAAGCTTGGTGCCGCAGTTCGAGCTGCTATGCTCGGAGGCCGATAATGCGTCGTTGAGGGGCGTTAGGACTGATGAATGAAGTGGCTGTAATGGGCTTGAGGGTATGTAATATAACGTCGGTTCGCTTCTTCTTCGTCTTAGTTTGTTCTTTATCTTAATCGTTGTCTTTGCTTTGCAGTCTTATTTGTTGGAGGTGGAGAGCATCCGTCGAGCCAATGTCCGCTCGGGGATATTTTTCGGGCGCTGGAGAAGTACCGCCGCTACCGAGATCGGTGCCGAGAGATGCGCGTGCGCTTGAGGAATGATCCCCGTAGCCGGGCCTTGGTCGAGGAACTGGCGAGGTGGAAGCTTCAGATGCAGCAAACACTTGGCAAAACGAGTGCTCTCGAGGAGCAGCTCCGTCGGAAGGATGAGGAGCTCGAGGCCGGAAAGAGGGCTGCAGCTGAGTGCGAGCGCCAGGGCCGTGCTAAGGCGGCGGAGACCGCCGCGGCATGGAGCGGGAAAGTGACTGCGTTGGAGGGTGAAGTCGCAACTTTGAAGCTTCAGGTGAGGGATGCCTCGTCGAGGGATGGGGCGTTGAAGGAAGCTATCCGTGTGCACGAGTCCAAGCGGGAGTTGGAGAGGGCTGCTACGGCCTTTAGAGAAGCGGGTCTCGAGGAGCGGATCGGTGTCTTTGAGCAGGACGCTCAAGTCATGGCGGACCGGATCACGGCCTTAGAAGAAGAAAATCAGCGCCTACGGGACCCGGCCGCTTCTTCCAGCCAGGCTCGCGAACTTTGGGTCTTTGCTGAGGCCCAACGTGATGTATATAAGAATTTGTGGGAGGCCGGCATCGTGACCGAAGCTGCTTTCGAGGGGGCGCGTCAAAAGGCTCGTAAGGCCCGTATCGACTGTGGTTTTGACGCGGCGACGCCAGAGGATGACGATGGTGCAGACGGTGGCGCGGATGGCGCCGAGTAAAAAGATGTTAAGCATTTTTTCTTGTCTTGTTCGCCGTTTGGCGTTTAGGTGTTTCTTGTTTTTCTTTTTCTTTTTCCTTGTACTGACCGGCCCTGGCCGGGTGTAAGCGGGGAAGACCCGCAATTAACTTTGTAGATAAATGAGATCTCCTTTCCGTTATTCGCCTTGTGTTTATTTTGTACCTCCCATTTTTCCCCTTTAGATTTTTCTTTGCATGCGTTTGAAGGGGTGATTTACCTTTGAGTTTGACTCTAGTAGGCATGTTAGTTTTTGATTGTTGACGACTTTTCTTCTTCGACTCGGGGTGAGCGAGTCGGAGTCGTTGCTTGGCGATAGCGGCACTTAGCCTTTAGTCTTAGTCCCAGTTCGGGCGTGGTCGAACTACCGACCGTGATGATAAAAAATGCGGCCTTGTAGTTTGACCGGGGCCGGACTTTACGTGCCCCCAATCTTAGTTTGAGTTGGGAGTTCTTACTTGAAGGGCGAGGGTTCCTAACCTACGCCTCGATTCGTTGGAGGTTAGATTTTGCTGAGTTCAACGATGAAGGCGCTTGGTTCGAGTCCCGATTCGGCTGTGGTTGAACTAGTTAGATTTGAGGACGGAGACGTCTAGCCTTATGGTGGAGGTCGAACTCGTTGGATTTGATGGCGAAGGCGCGTAGCCTGAGTCACAGTTCAACTGTTGTTGAACTTAGTCCATTTTGATGGCGAAGGCGCATAGCCTGAGTCCCAGTTCAACTGTTGTTGAACTTAGTGGCGAAGGCGCGTAGTCTTGATTCAATGGCGAAGGCGCATAGCCTGAGTCTTGGTTCAACCGTAGTTAAACTTCTTGGCGAAGGCGCATAGCATTGATTTAATGACGAAGGCGCTTAGCCTGAGTCCCAGTTCAACTATTGTTGAACTTTGTCAACTTTGATGGCGAAGGCACATAGCCTGAGTCTTGGTTCAACCATAGTTGAGCTTCTTGGCGAAGGCGCATAGCCTTGATTCGATGACGAAGGCGCTTAGCCCGAGTTTTGGTTCAATCGTAGTTGAACTTACTAGCGAAGGCGCATAGCCTGAATCTTGGTTCAATCGTAGTTGAACTTACTGGCGAAGGCGCATAGCCTTGATTAAATGGCGAAGGCGCATAGCCTGAGTCCCAGTTCAACTGTTGTTGAACTTTGTCAATTTTGATGGCGAAGGCGCATAGCCTGAGTCTTGGTTCAACCGTAGTTGAACTTACTGGCGAAGGCGCATAGCCTGAATCTTGGTTCAACCGTAGTTGAACTTACTGGCGAAGGCGCACAGCCTTGATTTAATGGCGAAGGCGCATAGCCTGAGTCCCAGCTCAACTGTTGTTGAACTGTGTCGATCTTGATGGCGAAGGTTCATGGCCTGAGTCCCAGTTCAACTGTTGTTAAACTTTGTCAATTTTGATGACAAAGGCGCATAGCCTGAGTCATGGTTCAACCGTAGTTGAAATTACTGGCGAAGGCGCACAGCCTTGATTTAATGGCGAAGGCGCATAGCCTGAGTCCCAGCTCAACTGTTGTTGAACTGTGTCGATCTTGATGGCGAAGGTGCTTAGCCTGAGTCTTGGTTCAACCGTAGTTGAACTTACTAGAGAAGGCGCATAGCCTGAATCTTGGTTCAACCGTGGTTGAACATACTGGCAAAGGCGCATAGCCTTGATTTAATGGCGAAGGCGCATAGCTTGAGTCCCAGTTCAACTGTTGCTAAACTGTGTCGATCTTGATGGCGAAGGATCATGGCCTGAGTCTTTGTTGAACTGTTGTTGAACTGTGTCGATCTTGATGGCGAAGGCTCATGGCCTGAGTCTTGGTTCAACCGTAGTTGAACTTACTGGCGAAGGCGCATAGCCTGAATCTTGGTTCAACCTTAGTTGAACTTACTGGCGAAGGCGCATAGCCTTGATTTAATGGCGAAGGCGCATAGCCTGAGTCCCAGTTCAACTGTTGTTGAACTTTGTCTATTTTGATGGCGAAGGCGCATAGGCTGAGTCTTTGTTCAACCGTAGTTGAACTTACTAGCGAATGCGCATAGCTTGAATGTTGGTTCAACCGTAGTTGAACTTACTAGCAAAGGCGCATAGTCTTGATTTAATGGCGAAAGCGCATAGCCTGAGTCCCAGTTCAACTGTTGTTGAACTGTGTCGATCTTGATGGCGAAGGCTCATGTCCTGAGTCTTGGTTCAACCGTAGTTGAACCTACTGGCGAAGGCGCATAGCCTGAATCTTGGTTCAACCGTAGTTGAACTTACTGGCGAAGGCGCATAGCCTTGATTTAATGGCGAAGGCGCATAGCCTGAGTCCCAGTTCAACTGTTGTTAAACTTTGTCAATTTTGATAGCGAAGGCGCATAGCCTAAGTCTTGGTTCAACCGTAGTTGAACTTACTGGCGAAGGCGCATAGCCTGAATCTTGGTTCAACCGTAGTTGAACTTACTGGCGAAGGCGCATAGCCATGATTTAATGGCGAAGGCGCATAGCCTGAGTCCCAGTTCAACTGTTGTTGAACTTTGTCAATTTTGATGGCGAAGACGCATAGCCCGAGTCTTGGTTCAACCGTAGTTGAACTTACTGGCGAAGGCGCATAGCCTGAATCTGGTCACCGTAGTGACTTACTGGCGAAGTCGCGATAGCCTTGACTTAATGGCGTAAGGTCGGTCATAGCCTGAGTCCCAGTTCAACTCGTTCGTTGAACTGTGTCGATCTTGATGGCGAAGGCTCATGGCCTGAGTCCCATATTGTGGGTATTGAGTGCTGAAGCTCGGTTTGGATTTGAGACCTTGAGCGGCTTATCCGTTGTTTCCCAACCAGGGTATATAGGCTGTCTTGAGGCGACTCTCAGCTCGAGATATCTCCGTGCCAGTTTCTGGCCGGAGCTCGTATCAGGGATGCGGGAGATGCCTTACAGAGATCTTCCCTTAGGAGGGGGGGGCTGCTTCTTTTTGTTTGCACTATCTAAGATCGGAGAGAGAGAGAGAGGACTTGGATCTTGATTTGAGATCTTCGAGTTCCCCTTCGATTTTGGCGTTTCTTTCCTTTTGGTCCAGGGAAGAACTACGCGATTTTTCTAGGAAATCCCCACAGACGGCGCCAAATTGTTTGCTCAAAAGTTATCATATAGCTTATGAGTGTAAACAATATAAATAAATCACGAGAAAATCATAGCAAAACGTAATAATCCATTGGACCAAATGAAGGAAACGAAAATAAATACTCAGAGTTGGGAGAAGAAAGATTAAAAGCCTTTATTGATAGTGTTGATTTGGTCTGCCTCTCCATGAAGAGGTTCAGAGCCTTACAATGATGTTCCACTTTCCCGTAATATGTGTCTCGTTATATCTTTCTCTTTCTCTCATGAATAGTGAAGAAGAAGAAGCCCCCTTGAAGAGGTTCCCTCTCTTGGTATTTATAGCTGTGAGCTTCGTGAGCTGGCAATAAGTGGCCTTCATGATGACGGACGGGCCGTAGCCTTGTTGATCGAATCAGATAAGGGTTGGATACCGTTA